TATGAATAATCCAATCAAAAGTGTTTTAATTCTCCCGAAAGTTATAACAAAGTTGTGCTTTATAACGATCATCAATGTTTGTTTTATATAGCTGGACACAAATTACAATACATTATTCTAGAAGACTCTACTAAAAACCTGATGGGACTGCTACCTAGCTCACGGTATTTCGATTCTTTCTTTAAACCCTAAGAGGATAAAATACAACTACACATTCGCTATTATTAAACCCCTTTCTGTGGAATTTCGTGTACTTTAAATGCAGATGTTGGAGCAATGAAATCCAGATTGTTGCTCTTTTTCTAATGCCCATAGAAACTCGCAGAAGCCACTAAATTGCTAGAAGCTCGGGAAGCCAAACTAGTGGAGATCTGCCGCACCAATCTGTCTCTTCAGGAAGTTAATGAGTTCCTCCACGCGTAGGTCAAACCTTTCAGTCTCTAGGCATAATATTTAATGTATCAAATTGGTGCGCTTGCCTGCAGCAAGCTGGAGGAGGCTGGACTTCCACACGACTTCAGCGCTGCCGACCTGCAGTCACTGACAGATGAATTCACGGAGCGACTGGCAACTACAGAGAGGAAGCTGCAGGCGGTAGCACGAGAGCGTGATCAACTTCGAGCTCAACTATTCACCGTAAATGCATCCTCTGAGCAGACGGTAAAACGTGCTTATGGTGAGCAGGAAAAAGCACTTCGGTAAATTTAAACCGAACACAGCTGTGCTACTGGTGCAATATAGGTACCCAGGCTAACGTTTCTTCTTGTGAAATGTTAAGGGCACGGTGTGCGCGACTTGAAAGTTCTCTGACGGATAAGGAAACTCAACTAGCCGATCTACTGGCGGAGGGGAATAGAATGGCTCAAGAACAGCTGAAAACTAATAACTTGGTTAAAACCCAACGCTCGAAAATGAAAACTTTGGAGTTGGAAAAGGAGAAGATCAGGCATGTTTTCTTTAGAAATGAGTGCTATGTGATTTTTTGTGTTTACTTTTGCCTAAACAAGAACTTTTGGAGGTATCGCTTTTCAGTGATAATCTCACAAAGGCTCAAACAGAAATCGGGAGCTTGAAATCCGAAATTGCTACTTTGCGAGAAAATGAAAAAAGGCTTCAGGGTAAGTCTTTACAAAATCTGACTATGTTTGCACCATTTCGTGTAAGGCAGTTTCAAATTCAACTGCACCTATTTCGTTTGTTGGTCGTAATTAGTTTTATATGTCCATCGCCCTTTTGTACTACACTTTTTCGTATTGTGTAATGTTTCGTAGGTGCTAGACGTATTAGGGCTCCTTACGTAATAGGTTTACATCCCCTATTTAACATTTTTCTATACCACTTTCTCAGGGGTTACACTATCTTAGTATTCCTTTAAATTTGTCTTACACGTCTATACGTTTACCATTCTAGGAAGGACCATAACCACTTCCTTGAACAGCTAAATCGGATTAGCAATAGTGACTGGCTTCTTTGGCCTAATTTATCATTTCTAAATTACCATGATCTATTCGATTGCACACAAAAAAACGAATGAGATAGTGGGTGGTCGATGATTTAGTCTTTTTCCGTCACTAGCTAAAATTGTTGAAATTTGATGCAGTCTTGCAAAAGTTTATGGACCTTGGTGTCATGACAGAGATTTTTACATCCCTCTTCTACTGTCTTTTGTTTACTTAGAATCCCTCAATCAACTCAGTCGTAAAAATCTGAAGTTGGAAAAAGACGTGGTTGCCGTAATGGTAAAAGCACTCTCTTTCACCTGAATTCCATATTTACTTGTCTGTTTGTTCAACCCCAGCGGCATCTTCTCGGGTGACACTTTCGACTATGTTTTGTCGTAGAATGAACTAGATTCCTCCAAGGCAAAAGGTGAGGCACTCGACCGTGCACGTCTGGAGTTGGAGAGGTGAGTTGGCATTCTCTGGAATCTTATTTTTTCTGTTTTGTCTAATCTCCAGAACATTTGCGCGATCCAATCTCATTGTCTGGAAGTTTTTCTTGAATTAAAGGCAGTGTAGAGCCTGCAATTTTTCATGAATTGTTACTTGTGTGGTGCAAGTGTGGTTCTGCTTAATTTCGCTAATTTTAATAATAAGATCCCCAAAATTTCAGCTTCGGCTAGCGCAATAATTTCTCAATCTTTGTCTAGAAATGTAGCGGGTAAGGTTTACGAGGGACCTCGTCCACAATAACAATATCTGAGGTAATAATTTAGAATCAAAATAGATGAAATCATTTCTTCGCGTGTTTGATAATCTTTCATTTTTTCTATTCTTTTATTATACAGGTACACTTTTTTGTCCTAAACTACCTCCTGTGACTGCTCTTCACTGTGCTTCATGTCGATTCGTGCTATTTTCCGGTTGAAAGTATTGCTTCTCATCTCATTCATTTAAAACTATGCCTGTATCGTCTGAGATTCTTGATTTCGTAATCACTTATCTACTTTACTTATGATTTTGGCGAATGTTACTTGTTTTGAGTTGACAGCTCTTGTACTCTGCCTTGCTCTTTTTTCCTCCATCTGTTTGGTAAATATTACAGTTTCCGGTCTTCCCCTATTGATTGCAAAAGTGGTTTAGGTTACCTCAGTAAAAGTAGTCTAAGTCGTAACAATCGAAAAATTCTTGTGAATGGATTGAATTTCTTTCAAGTAGCAGAGCCGATAAAATATGCGTGCGCAAAATATGTTCCTCGCGTTTCACTTCCACAGCAGCTTTTCATTTTAGTGATCCTAGCATAAGTAGGTTTAGGATCCCTATCGACGTCTGTGATCTGATTGAGAGCTTTGCTTTTACCCCATTTCGTCTTCTATGTTTTATGCCCTTTCTTTCCTCTTTCTTCCCATCTCCTTATTAGTAAGCTATCAGATAGTGCAGTAGATCTAGCGACGGCGCAGCGGGCGCTTTTGGATGCGCGGACACGCACAGAGGCAATTCGCGATGTGGAAGAGGAACAACAGAGCCTTCGTGACGAAGTAAGCACTCTGCGCACCCAGCTTGAAGAGATGCGGATTACTGCGGTGCGCCAGAAGCTGGACGCCGAGCAGCGTCTGCAACGGTCACGGCAGGAGGTCAACCACTATCGTGTGCGTATCTTTTACAACACGCTTTTTTCGCATTTCAAGGATCCTTTTTGCCGTCTATCTGATTATAAACTTCCTCCTTTCCAGCATTTGAATTAGATGATCGGAGGTCTAACCCTGTAGCGGGGTCTTTCCCGAATATACAGCTCTGTATTCTGGATTGCTTTTTGTCGTTTGCTCGATCATCCTTTTTTGGTTCATTTGATCTCTACTGATTCAGTCACCATCTTTTGCGGGATAAACTCGCTGTTAAGCAGAAATACTATCTACAGCCTTACAGTTCTGTAATATATCTTTCAATTGCTGTTCTGATGGTGCATCTTCCCCAATTCAATTTATATTTGTTAATTTTGGAAACTGGCTCTATTCCCCCCAGTGCTCCAGGTTTATGTGACCCCTTTCATGGATTTTATTCGCTGTTTGATCTTAAGATCTGCTAGTCACATTGAGGGAGAGAGTGATTTGGGATTTATTTTGCTTTTCATCCCTGCATCTTTGGTCCCTGATGATATTCTAGTCGTCCTTTTGCTGTGGACTTATTTTGCATTCAAGATTTGTTACGGTCAATATTAAATTACATACTTAACTGATATTATATTTTTGCCATTTATGCAACTGAGGCGATAGGGAGACAGTCCGTCTTGCTTTTCTTAGGAGAATTATTTGCTCGTTTATTTGCTAATAGATTGCATTAGTTAAAATGCGGTCTTTGAATAGTCTAAGAGTAAATTTGTCAACATTGCCACTGCATACTTTGCCCTAACCAAATTGTTATGACCGGTTTAAAATATTTTCAGCCCGCCGCTAAATCCATCCAAATACAATTGTGAGGCAAACTTTTTAGTGTTTTGTTTGTGGTACTCAAGTTACCCCTGACACTAGATGTGCAGACCTCCTTCCCACCGCCCTGAGGCCTTTGCGCGGGAGGCTGAAGAGGTCATTGTAGTGATATAAACAAACAAAACGGACTTCATTCTACTGCAAGATAATGCGCGACTCACCCATTAATGGTCGTTTTGCGGTTACTTGGGCTATAATTATTTACCGAATATGTAATCGCTTATTTAGGAGCAATTAGCGGAATCGGAGGCACGTTTCGAGTCCCTCGGTGAGGCCGCGACCTCTGTGGCCAAACCGCTGCTGCGTCAGATCCAATCTCTTCAGGCCAAGTTGGCCGAGCAGGCGAATGCCTCTGAAGGCACTGAACAGAGCCTGCTGGCCCTAGTTGGTGAGTTTTTGTGTCTACCTGTTCACTCACGGCTCTGGAATTCGCATTGTTTTGTATCAAACAGTCTGTTTTGGACACGGTTTGCTTCAACTCCTTGTCTTAAACTGATAAAGTACCTACGTCACATATTTGTGATGCTGAGCTCGGGAAAGAAAATTGGGATCTAACGCGCATGTGGCACTAGCAGTAAAAGTGTTAGTAAAGGGCTAAATCAGGTTCTCACCATTACTTGGTGATCAATTTTTACTTTTCAATCCGTAAAGATTTTGACGTTTAAAATATCCAAAATTGCAGTCGCACCAAAACCTTTCTTTCGTAACCCTAACCCCCACACACAATCGAACCATAGAGCTACTCACTGACATGGAAATATCTCATGAGGAAAATATGATCGAATCCTGGGCCTAAAGCGATAGACCACGGAAAATTCGTGCTGACTTCTGCCTTTTTTGGCTTTAGCGGATCTGAAAAAGCGTTTGGAGGTGGCAGAGAGAGCGGAACGTCTATTTCAGGAGCGTCTCGATGGAGCAGAGACTGCAGCAGACGCCCTGAGGAAGGAACTTTCTCTGGAGCGGGCGGCCTCCAGCCAAATGCATGACCGACTCTCCCAGCACGATCTGCAGGCCTCCTCTGACAAGTCACATATTGAAAAGTAAACTCTGGGTTTATACTTTTAAGACGTTTTGTATATGAATGTCTTGCATTGTTTTATGGCAGGCAGTGTTGGAACCATTCTCCTTGCATTATCCATCAATAACTTTGAACCAATTTTTTAAACTTATTTAAGAATTACAGACTATAGATTTAGAGCTTGGTTGAAGCTGTGATGAAGCCCTTCCTCCCATCCTTCTCGTTGCACTTATTATTAGTCTTTGAAGAGGTAACGGAATCTGCCATTCTGAAAGAAGGCCTATTATTAACCTGCCATGAGAGAGACCCCATGACGCCAAGGTAGCTGGCGTCTTTAAACCTCAACACATATCATTCTACTGCGAACTTCTTCTTTTGAGCAGCGTCCTCAGGGCCCTCCATGATTGTTCTGTTTTGACCGTTGCAAGTCTTCTTTTGACTTTTAATCAATTGCCAGACGGTAGCGAAAATGCTGCATTGAAGTACTCAAAAAGTTAATATTTCACATCGCCGCATATTTAGCTATTCTCTGAAAAATCATCCTCCTGTAACTTTTGGTTTTGGCACCAAACCAATGGGAATTAGGATTGCCCTTTTGTCGGGACGGGCTCGCCGATGTGGCACTTCATATCATCGCCGAAGACGCAGTATTGTCCACCAGCCAGGTAGCGGATTTTTAACATGGAATTAAACTGGTGATGGAACTGTGGAGAATGGGAGCTCGTGCAGTTGATTATCCTTTAAAACAAATGTTACTAATTTTGTAATTACACTAAGAGAGCCGAACTCTTCATTCTGAGTTGACGACCAATGTCTGCGAAACTCATTCATTTTTCTACGTTTTAAGTGGTTTTTTGTGTTAAAATTAGGTATTTGCCTATTTTTGCTTTGCAATTCTGCTTCCTTACACGCCCACTGTGTTGTGGTAACCAAGGCAATATTTCATGTCCCTTTGTCATGCATTTGGACCTAAGTTTGCCTAACTGGCTAAAATGATTACTTTGCTCTCACTGTTTGCGTGAGGTCATAACCTGTACCTCTACATGTACAATCACGAAACCTAGCAATACCAATTGCCAATTGTCGTGTCTATCATGCTTTTTTGTGCGTTTTCAGCAGGTGTTGGTCTATTTTAAAAGCTGTCGCCTAATGTAATAACCTTTTTGGCTAGCCGGGTAAGTATAGCCATTGATGGTCTTAGCTTTAGCTCGGTTAGGTAACTGATGTAACGGTCCAGAAACATGTCAGTTTTTCAGCAGAAGAAAAGTAGTGGATAATTCTGTTAAACTTTGTATGGGCTAGGAATCTGTGTGGTCATTTTTTAAGTGGACGGTACGTTCTCACTTATCAATCTGTGCGTTTTAGAGTACTGAATTGAAGAGGAAGTCAGTCAATCTCGGAAATGTTTTAAATCTACTTCTGGTGGAGTAATTTCATCTATTTTTATCCTCTATTGTGCAGACTAAACGCTGAACTAGCCTCCCTTCATCAACAACTAATTGCAGCAGAAGATGCCTCTGATGCAACCTCAGCTGCCCTGGTCGCGAAGAAAGAGGAGGTGGTCGGACTTCGGTCGGAGCTGGCTCAGGTGAAGGCCGAATTGGCTCAGGCGCTGCCCAAAATGGCAACGTCCACCGCAGCTGTCTCCACTTCTCCCCACCCACTCATGGGAGCGCACTCGAGGCGATCTTCCGGTGCCCAACTGTTGACACTGACATCTCAGGTTTGTTCCAGTGTTGATTCGTGCCCCGTCAATTCAGGTGGTTCTTGGGAGTAGTTAATTAGAGTAAGATAGCACACCTACTGTTTATTCTTTGGTTCGGTGAATTCGCGAAATTACTTTCACAACATGCAGCACTCGAGCCAGATCTGAAGACGTAGCACAGTGTAACTGTTGAAAAATGGCTTTATTGTAATCTTACAGAAAGCCAGGAGACAAGAATCAAGCACAAGTAGCAGGAGATTGGTTAGAACGATCTGGTTGCAGCAAACTCAATTTTGTCACGTGTATCTATGTCTTTTTGTGTGAACCTTTATTCACAAACAAAGTCTATCCATTGATATGTTTGTTGTGAAGTAGTTAATCAACGGCTCTGATCCCATCTACCCTCCACACTTCTTTGTTGTTTTACTATCGCACAGCAGGAATCGTTCAGACAGCTCATTTCGTTATCAATTTGTACTTGTTCAGTGGATCCGCACATTAGGCTGGAGAAAATCGCATTACTAATGTCGAGAAGGTCTGTACAGCTGCTGCTCGGCTCGCGAGAAGCTGGAAACGCAATCACTTAAGACATAAATCTGCTGCAGCAGCTTTGAATGGTCCGACCATTTGGAATTGAGTTGTACTAGTAAAAATCCAGCCCTTTATTATTACCGCCCTTGTAGGACTCCGATGCGAATCCTTCTTTGGAGACAACCGTGTCAATTCAGCAGTCTTCGCCCTCACCGCCTCCGCGTCCCTCTCCTCTGCCAACCGGCCATTTCGCCAGCAGTCTCTCTTTCCTCCAAGTGAGACCTTTAAATATGGAGCGTTTCATTTCGTATTAAGCAACCAGTCTCTCAATGGAGTAATTTTAATGTTCTAGTTATGCTAGCATGCCATGATAGGTGGGGTAAGAGAACATTACAAATCAGAAGTGAATGATTAACTCCGGATGATCGTTTTCGTACCCCACAGGAAACGGCCTAGTATTTGGGATACGAAGTATTAGTCTGTTGTTTCGAGATCTAGCATTGATGTTGGGTATATAGAAGGATCTTTAACACATTCACCCCACCATCACACGTATGTGACAGTGATAATCTTACCTCAGCTAGCACGTCACACATGTAACGTTTAGTTCTGAACTATATTTCAGCATCCTATCCGAGCACTATGTTGAATGGTTGCTAAAACCAATCCATTTTTATAAAGTACGGGCATCACGACAGGGCGAAAATATTTTTCCTATTTTCAATCTTAAAGTAGAAAGGCAAGCTTCTGGACCACTTTCATTCTGACTCTTGCGCTAGTAAAATTCAGATAAACGTGTTATTGTTTGTATTTGGAAACTATTCGTTGTCACTATTGTAAAGGGGATTGTTGGTGTTACCAGCTTTATATGAAGCCCTTGATCCCAAATCCTGGTAGCTTTAAGTGTGATACATTAAAGTACCTCCTTTGATTCTTCAAAATTTCCCTTTTTTTACCAGTTATCGTTCGTATGAGAAGAGCTTTGTCATCGTATGTATGGTTCCTTCAAACATTTCAGCTAGCAGCAATGCATTTTATTCTCTATTTTTTTCTAATCGAAGTATGAATCTGGGCTCTTTAATTTTGTCTTTGACTGCTCATATGACTCCGTGTTTATGCTGGCTTGCAGAGGACTACGTGAAAAGCTTTTATCCTGGTCCCGGGTATTTTTTAACATTTACACCAGCATAAACAATCCTTAAATTCTGTTTTTTTTATGTGGGTAGGTTCGAGTTTAGTTGAATGGAGAAGCACTCACGGGCCTTTTTCCATATTCCTGGTGTTGATTAATTAGTCTGGTATTTCTGTGTCTTGCATAAGTATTTTCTGTTGATTTTGTGGATTCCCGGTCCACTTCTTTTGTTGTTTTACCATTGTGTAACCTTTGGAGTCGTGTTTTGATTAGCGGCTGTAGTCTCCAGAAGAAAGATAGTTTTCTCTTTCAAAAAACTCCAAAAAATTTACTTAGGTCTCGCCAAGTCAGCCCTTCTGTGTTATCCGGCATCTATACAACCTAAGGCATTTATTTCACTGATAGTAATGAACTCCTTACTGCATTTTTAAATCCCCTCTCCTCAGCTTAACTTCAATTCACAATTTTTTCGTATTTCGTCGTTTTTACTAACGGCAGACACGTCACACGGGCATCATTTCTCCTAGTAAGGGTGATCGTCCTCATATATCATCGTTAATTACGCACCGAAGGGATCCATACAGTGGTGCAGGGACGGTCAATTAGGTGGCGATATGCACTACTCAAAAAAGGCCGCTGGGCACCGCCGGCAATAGCACCAGCAAAAGAGAGCGACCTTTAGCAATCTCATTCCCGTGCACACTCCTTCTTTTGAATGGTCTTGCATTCCCACCTCTACTAATCTATGGATTAACACGCCAGGTACTAGGGTCTGAGGGGAAAACTAGTCGTCACAACCTATATGCTTCATTTACAGCCATGCTATCTAAGAACCAAAAAGTATAATTATTCTCAAACCAAGAATATCCTGCGTTCATTTTATTCCTTTTGGATTCACCTGGTCCCTTTCAATCAAACTAAAGCTCTGGTTCTCTTATCTGAGCCTGACATCACATGGTGTTTTGGCAGCAGGTGTGTTAATTTTAGTTCGGTTGACAAAAGTTTTTCTCATCTTCAAATTGGTTCTAAGAGCCGTTACTGGAATTCTAGGCAAACAAGCCATAATTGTCCAATAGGGATGATAAAAGTACTAACTTAGCTGACCTTTTTTAAGCACTGATGCGTTGCATCCCGGTTTCCTGCTGGCCTTACGCAGTACCGGCTACGTGGGTGTACTATGCTGCTGTACTTCCTACTTCCGAGGCTGGTGGCCTGCATGGTATAAACACCTCAGGCGTGCTCTGGTTGGTAGAGCACCTCTGTCTCTTTCAATATACCCACTGAACTGCAAGAGATATTTAAGCCTAACCACAAATGTTGAATTTATTAAACAAAAGAGTATACTATGGGGAGCAAAAAGAAGGTGCTCTTATTTTTCCATGTAGTTCCATGCCATTTATTACAATTTTACGCAAATATTCGGAAAGCTTAGGTATAGAAAACTTCAGTTCTGCTGAAGCATCATAGGATGACCTACATCACTTCGTCGTCGGATCAAGTTGTCAATCCTTTTGTTTTCGTTACGCTGATGCTCGTTTCTATTCCTCAGTGAAATGATTCAACCGGGTTTCGTCTCGTACAGTGATGCAGTCTAGAAATTCTTGGCCTTCCTTAACCAAACGCCTCCGTCTTGGTGCCCAGCGCGCGCCAACCCTCCGACCTTGCGGATATTTGTGGGTGGTTGTGTCATGTTCACCGTTCTCATGAGAGGATGTGTATAATTTTACGTCCTGCTATACGTCGATTGTCCAGGGTCAGATATTCCGCTCGCTGAATGACCGATGAGGCTGCAGTCGAGATAGGCACTGACGTACAGGCCTTCGACCCCGTACTGTGGCTGAGTGTCCTGTCAACGTACCATGCAAACTGTTATTGAAGTCTCCTGCAGACGCCAGTGTCCGCATCATGACACGCTGTTGCAGTTGCACATCATCACTGGTGACTGCCATCCTGATTAAGGGTGTTCGGATCTACATATGCATCATCTATTATGAGTAGGTATGGGCATGCATGGCAGTTATTATTGGGTATAGCACCTCGGTTGTCGCTGCAGATGGGCGATTAAATCTCAATTCGCTTTGGACACCTTGTGCATTTCATCACCTACTCCCATCACTTACCGTGGTGGTGACACTTTCGGTGTGATGGATTGAATAAGAGTGCACAAAGTGTGTGTTGAGTTTTCTTCACACAGAAACATGTATATGTGAAACTGCGTGTGTGCATGTGTTCAATGCTGTCCGCATGATCGCCACCACCAATGTAGACGACCTGTTTCTTCTCACGTTACATCACACGACTCATCTCTCCTGCATGAGTCAACCCTCTCTACTTCCGCCGTCGCCGTCACCCCACGTTTTGTTCTGTAGTTTGACTTAATGGATGCGACGCCTGATGAAATGCACCAGATCTGAAATCCAATCTCATCTTAGACGTGAATTGGCTCACTGAGTGGACGATTTCGTTCAATCTGTTGGCTCCCGGATATTCCAAAAGCTTCTTGATTTGATGCAGGTGACTATGCGTTTACGGATATGAAATACGTTCCACTTCTGTAGGACTACGCATTTTAAGGTAAACATAGCACTAACACGGAGACTAGGAGTAAATCGTTCACCCACTTACTGACTCATGCCTAGTTGTTCCCTAAAGAAGTTTTAAATGCGTGTGGGTTTGGAAGTAGCTCTGGTGTAGGCGTGTGAAAGGACCAGAAGACCAGTGTCATAAGTGATGATGAGTAGTGCTTTGTTTGTCTAGTTCACCTTTCCAAGATATATTATGACATTGGAATAAAAATGAGCATTACATTTTGATTATTTTACAATCTTAACATAGGTTGTCACTTCTACCTCATATGCAACTGTTTTCACTTCTCCGTTAATTGACATTAGTTAGGAAAGTTCTCTTCATAACCAACGCTTTTCTCCTGTTTCTTATTACCATCATGTCCGTTTTTTTCGCATTTTCAATCGTTGCTGGCGCATCCGAATCTCGTTGTTTTTCAACTCAACTCACTTGGACTTGCTTGTTCCCCTAATGATACCTATCCCAGTCCCCTTCTCATTATCTCCCATTTATCGAGTTTTGAGAAACGTGGACACGGTTTTTTTTCCATAAATCCTCTGCTTTGGTGCCTTCTTCAATTATTATTTTATTATCCGATTCTTTTAAGGTAAATTATCCTAAGATTCTTATTTTTATGCTTATTAATTTTTGGTCTTTTTTACTAAGCACATCACAAGTTTGTGGATTGTATTTCATCCAAATAGCATTAAAGTATTGAAGGATGGGTGAGGCGGATTTCCTGGTTTCAAGTTTATCCTGATGATTCCTCACACATTTGAGGCCTTCTTGATTTTGCTTTATGGTGCAGCAATAGCGGTATTAAACACGATTAAGCAAATTGTATTGTGAGGTGCTTTCTTTGTTGTCAGGATCTTGTCTGTCTTTCCCTTCTCACGCACAACGCTGTGCACCTTGGCTGGTATGAGAATGTGATGAATTGCACAGAATCCTCTCTGAAACACGTAGGGATGGTTGTAGGCTTTCCCGTGTTAATGAGAGGTGGTCGTGGCTCTTTACGGGAGTCCCTTGTGGCTATCCACTTCTTCCAGCAAACTGTAAGTGGCAATTTGCATTTAGACGGCGTACTTCTACTTGTTGACTGCATCACCCATGTCGATGCCTTATTGTGTGATGTCATAGGATGTCTTGGGCTTTTACTTATAGACCTCCATTCACTCCGTACTTTATGGCGAATGCCTGTTGCCCACTTATTTTGGACATTTTGATTCCCTGTCTGTCTACTCAACTAAAAAATTTTTTTTTCATTCCCTCCGATTTTCAACCTCCAATCCCATTGTCCAACACAGTGGATGTGTATTCTTCACAATTAAATTGCAAATCATAAACGGGTTTCAAAAATTGGGTTAAATGACAATTCCTAGTACATTTGTGTAAACATAGAAAACTTGCAATTTGCAACCTTCGTGGGTATTTTCAACTCGACCCTCGCCTAGAAGTTTATTGAATGTATCACGACCCTTTTTGGTACATGCTAGTTCCATGATATTTCGTCAAATATTGGCGACTCTTAGAATTTGTCTTTTTGAGGACTCAACACGACCACTCGGATAAGCAGTGGAGTCGCGTTTGAACTGCTAAGTTGATGAAGTCGACAATAGTAGTGATATTATTTGCGAATGTGTGAATGACCATCACGCACACACTTCCCATGCACACACGTCCTATGTGGGAAACTAGAAGGCTTGCATATCATCGAGCACACTTCCACTCACGTGCCGACCACGAGAACATCACCTAGGAAATCGGCATTCCTCCTTTTCACAGGGATGGCGTCGCCCTATTTTAGTGACTTTTTAATATTTAAGAAGGGGTATTTTTTTATCTCCTTCCATGGATGTAAGCTGTCCACTAGTTGTGTGAAACGCTTTTGATCATATCCAACTTATGGGTCTTAAAGGAACTCCTCGTTGCAAAAAAAGAAACGCACACTAGAATTCGACATCTCTCTCAGATATTGAAGTTGTGATGCTCCCAATTTTTTTGTGAGCACAAATTTCGGTGTTGCTTCTTTTGCAATGATAGATTTTTGCTGAAGTTACAGCTCTTGGTTCTTTCTACCCTCCTCCCTTGGCCAGTCACAACATCCAGCAAAGTCAAAAGTAGCTAGCCTTTTGTGTGAAAAAAAGGCTGCTCTACTTAATGACTTTACATTTGCGCTGTGTAAATTATTTGTATTTATTTGGAAAAGTTATTTTTCGTAGACTTGACAGAGAATGGCGTTGTTGATGTTGTCGGTGTTACTTTTCCCACACGTGCATGCCGAGGCGCAACTAATTTCAATTTGTTTCCATTGGCATTTGTGTTGCCGTCTCAAAAGCTAAACGAATTTGCGCATCAAGTACTTGGATCCCAGTTTGTGTGAGTGTGTATGCTCTTCTTATGCATTCACTTCTACTTTGCTCTGTTTTTAGTCAAAT